CTATGATGATGTCAGGAGAAGCAACAATATTAAATGAGTTGATGTGCAGATAATGTGCAGTTGATTCATAATACAATTAACAAAGTAGAATTGATTCTGAATTACATACTTAGTAATTCAAAATCAATTCTACTTTGTTAATTGTATTATATGAACCAGTAACACTAATTACTATTGATAATAATGTTTATTTCTGAAGCTTAAAAATATACAAAATATCCATGACAAATCCTCGTAAGTATTATGAATTAAACATGTGACAGAATAGGCTGGCTCCACAGGGTTGGAGAAACTACAATTAAGAAATATGCTCTTTTGCTAAACTATCAATGCTATATTACTTTTTTGTTTTTATTTCAGTGATCACTGGCGTGCAATGGCCTGCACCATAACTACAAATGACGAAGCCATGAGGACCAACACCATTCTCTAGTGATGCTTATTGGAGCACCAGCCTTTAACATTAACCAAACTAAGAAGTTACAATTATTGCGAGATTATATATATATATATATATATATATATATATATATATATATATATATATATATATATATATATATATATATATGTATATATCTACTATAGCATATTTATATGCTCAATTGCTTACTTTTTTTGCTAGCCTAAATTAAGTGAGCGATTTTAGGAAACGATGAGGGAAAACGAAGAATAATGAATGAAAAGGTTGCTGACCCATACCAAACCCTCAGTCAATGTAGCAGCACTCCACTGCGAGTCAGGCTATTTGTCAGTCGATGTATGTACTGAAGCCCCTGGCAGCAGGCTATTTGACGCTAGGTGAGTATGACATCATCATGCTCACTTATTTATATATTTAAATATTAGCTTTCAAATTGAAATAAACATAAATTTAAAAATTGTGAACTTTCTTGATGTCAAATTTAACCTCTCGGAAAATACATATAAGCCTTTCAAAAAACCAAACGATGAATTATTGTATATTAATATTAACTCAAATCATCCACCCCAAATTCTAAAACAAATGTGGTATATAAATGTATTGTCTCCTCTAAGAATGTACCTGATAAACAATATATTTGCATAACAGAAGGTGAATGGAAAAAACGTTTTGCCAATCATAAGCAATCTTTTAAAAATAAAAAGTATTCAAAAGACACCATGCTGTCAAAATATATATGGGAATTAAAAGATAAAAATATTGATGATTTTTCACTGAATTGGTCCATCCTTAAAACAGTGCCTGCATATAACAATATTTCCAAAAAATGCATACTATGTCTACAAGAAAAATTTGAAATAATTACACATACAAACCAAGAATGTTTTTTAAATAAAAAATCGGAATTGATTTCTAAATGCAGGCACGAAAATAAGTTTCTCCTAAAAAACTATAAAAATAAGTGAGCTCAAAAAATAGTTACATTAACTCCCCTTTGAAAAAAATATACTATTTTTTTAAAAAAGCTTAAGTAATCATTTCTAAAGAATTCTTTTTACAATAGTGTCAGCAAATTACACAAATGTGTGAAAAATTGCAGTAGTTAAGAAATGTGACTTCCTGTAATTTAATTTTTGGTATATATTGAAGTTTTATTAATTTGATCATTCATTTCTGATGAGTCTTTATTGATGAAACACAGTGTTAAATGAGAAAAAATTTTCTAAGTGATTTTCTACTAACTTCTAATTGCTCTGTTCTTTTAAGAACATTGAGCACTCTTTTTGTAGAATACATTTTAAATTGTTTAAATATATATATATATATATATATATATATATATATATATATATATATATATATATATATATATATATATATATATATATATATATATATATATATATATATATATATATATATATATATATATATATATATATATATATATATATATATATATATATATATATATATATATATATCAATGGTGCACAGTTGTGTTTTGGTCTAATTTTACTGTAGTGAGAAAAATTTTTGGCTAACATCAGTTTACCACCTATGTTATGAGTCGTTTGTCACCCATTTTTTTTAATTTCGCATTTGGTGTATTTCTTGTACAGTTAAATTATTTTTGAATATAGCACTATGGGTTAACTTGAAAATATTTTAACAAACCAAAATAATCATATAAAATTATTTATAATATTCTGTCTTCTAGTTTTAGAAAAAGCATACTTTGGCATGGATGACTTTAGTTTTCTCACTTGCTTTAAGCTCTTCTTTTACAAATATTTTTTTAACACAATTCTTTAGAAAAGTCTTTATAAAAATGAATGAAGTTCACAAGAATAATTATGATTTTAAGGCAATAAAACAAAAAATGAAATTCAAAAATGGTTTTTATCATTATTATTATGGTTCTATTATTATCATCTTTGCTATTTTCGCTCTTCGAAAAACTCCTATTGTTTTTAAACACTAAATTTATGTTGAAAATTTCTTCTTAGTGTGTTCTTTTAATTAAATTTTAATAAATGATTAAACTTATTGTTTATCGTATATCCTTAAACAGTATTTAATAATGATTTAAAATACAAATACTATACAAGTTATAACTGTGTAAATATTTGTATTTTAAACATTTGAATTTTTTAATCTCTTAAACTAAAATCTTTTTTTTTTAAGTTTAATGAAGTATGACTATGAAAAAGTTTAACAAAGTATGACTATGAA